CTCAGGCTTATAAAATACTTCGGAAGGACAGGTTTTTTGCTTTTTGAATGGATCAGGTTGTTGTACCAAGTGGTAGATACATAATTAAAATCCAGGCAGTGGATGCCACTAACCTTTTGATATGGTATTCATCTTCTTCCCCCATCTCTCAGTTTATGTACACAGACAGATATGTTGCACATTCTGGTGTACTATCACCGTAGTCAATATTTTTTATCAGGAACAAAGTGTAAATGTTTCTAGTGAAATGCAACTTACCAAACCCAGCACCGAAGTAACTGAACACTCTGAAGTGGTATTTCTTCTGAGCAGGAAGCATTTTTATTTACAGCTAAATGTCAGCAGGGCTCTGGTTTTTCATCAAGCACCTGGCAGAATTGTCTAATTGAATGATGCTTTGTTTAATGGTTGCATGGAAACTACTGTAAGGGGTTGTGGATGTGGCTTGAAATGACAAATGATGTGTTTGTAGAAACTGCTGACAGGCATGGCTAGTCTTGACTTCAGCTGTTGTGAGGTAAAATCTTCAAGGTGAGAGAGACACAGGTTACGTGTTAGGAAATAACTAAGTGTACAACATTACCAGGATCAAATATAAAAAAAAATCACGAGTTGTGGTTAAAAAAAATGCAGTTTATAAAATATGCAAATGTGTGTGTGGGGGGATCTTTTTATTTGCCTTCTGGTTTCTGAGACGTTAGGTTACACTGGTTATATGTTTTACACTAGGTTATATGTTTTCAAGCTTTACTCCAAAACTAGAAGGACAAGAAACTTACTTTAAAAAAATGAATCCAGAAGCTAGAGCTTTAAGAAAACTATGGTGAGACTTGGAATAAAATTGTGAGACTCGGCAGCACTGCATATAAAATGTCATTCAGTGGAAATGATTTCAAAATTAAAGAAACAGGCTTAAGATCTCAAATTTACTTTATCAAGAAAACAAAAGTGATATTAAATCAAAACATATATGGAAAATCTGAAGATATATTTTGGCAGTTAGTGATTGTTTGCACTTAGTGACTGTTTACATAGCCTCTAATGTATCAAAAAAATGATGTCAAATTTAAGTTTTCCAGCATTCTCTAGGCCAAACCAAGAGGCCATTTAATACTATGAAGACTTTTATATTCCTCATCACAGAATCTGGATTAATAACAATGTTTAACTGATGAATCCAGAGGTATTGGTTTTGATCACAAATGAAAAAGAAAAATCCAACCTGCTGAGCATGCATGGCAACCTGTCAAGCAGAGTTTTACAAAAGAGACATATGTTTTATTTTGGTGTTGTAATGTACTGTGAGAAAAGGTCACATTCTTCAAGAAGGTTTCACCTTGTAGGAATACATTTCAAAGAAAAAAAGTGTTAAAGACTGTCTTATTGGGCTTTAAGAAAAATATATATTCTATGATATAATATTCTATGATAATAGTAATTCTAGATTATGTGAAGACTGAAAAAGAATAGATGAATAGGAGTATTTAGGCATTCATGATTTAG